GACACTAAAAAGACATATCAAGGAAAGCCTGGATCTATGTAAAGTTTAGGCTCAAGTAAAGTCAGATATCCTTGTCTGGCACCTGTAGACCCTCATGCATCTTCATAAAAACACAGTTTTACTTGTGGCTGCACCACAGAAAAATTTTCTAACTGAGATGAAACTGTGAGGATTTACTGACATTCAGGCAGCCCACAGCACATGTTACTGCTGCCTCTGGAACTGAGTGCAAAATTATTAATGTGATAATTCATTTTTTCCTCTTTCACCCCCCTCCTTCTCATAGTTTCTTAGGATGTTGCAGAAATGTGTTATTCTTACAGTTTCAAGCTAAAATTTGCCACTCCATGCATAGTGCAATTCATACCAGGCTTTAAAGATAAATTTTTAGACTCTGTTAGGAGATCTATTTTGAGGATATCAGCTTTGTTTTTTCGAAAGAATTGGGCTTTCAGTTGCGTCCCTTTGCAACTCCATCAAAGCAGATTCTGACTCCAAATGGCCACCATGGCCACTGACTGGCATCAGGGCTTTCTCTGCCCAAAGCTGCTGCAGCCAAACTCCACAGCAGCTTCATGCTGCTCTAGGAGCAGATCTAGAAGGGTGAGTGGACGAACACCTGCTCCAACAGGTCTTCTATGGAGCATCTTGAAGAGGTAAAGCTGCTGCAGCCAATGTCAGGGCTCAGCTCCATCAGCTCCGTGCAGCACTAGCTGACCTGTCAGAAGCACTATGGCTGTGTTGGAACCAGCTGAACCCAGCTGAAAAAAGAGTGTTATTAGTCTGAGCAGAGGAAAATGCTTCTACTGCCACACACTTCTGCCTCAGCTTATTCCAAGCTCGTTTGCTTGTATCTCCACATAGCACTGAATTACACCACTGCCAAACCCTACTGAACTACGCAATGAACTTCTGACAAACTGAGCCTACATCATTATACCCTTTTTTATCACATAACCCACCTTATTTAATATCTCAAGAAAAAACACTGTACTAAGAAGAGGGAAAGCGAACCAATACTTCTATTTTTTAAACCACTCCCAACGGAAATATAGTTAGAAACAAGAAAGAACAGATTTCTGCAGGTCCCAAAGAAGTCACTTAGACTCTTCATAGTCTACACAGTTCTCCATAGCAAACTCACTGCACCTAGCTGCCAAAAAAATATATTTGCCTGCCTGCATTATGAAATTTTTGCATATTATGCAGCAAAACCAGGTCTTCCTATATGCATTTTTAATTTCTTGCAGCAAAACATACCTGCTAGCAAACAATTACTTACAAAGACGCTCTTTAAATATAAATAAGTGTGTGTAACTTACTGATACATAGTAATAAAATAATCCGTATATCACTTATTACATTATGCAAGAAAAATAATGTCTTTTGGACATTAGCAGGAAATCTACATTAAATTATCTTTAAAAAAACCACTCAAAACTCCCTAAAGAAAAATCAAACCCAAACTAAAACAAACAAAAAACCAACCCAACAGAAACAAAATAAAACCCCTAGACTGTTACAATTATTGCACAACTGGAAAAAAAAAGCTTTGGAAAAAATATCCTTTACTACCAGAAATTACTGCATGTAGAAAAGAACTATGTATTTCTGAACACTTTGCTACATTCTTCCTAGAAGAATTTAGTTATCTACAGGAAAACTCTGTTTTACTAATGAAATAGAAAATGTAACATCTACCTTTTGGCTGAATGCGATAGCAATCTTAAGGATTTAAGTGATTATTTGGGGGATGTTCTTAAATTTGTTTCCTATATTGTATCTCGGTGGAAAATAAAACAACTTTCACTTGTTCTGTGTATAATTTAGAATCCAGTTGCACACTCAGACTTTTACATATTTCCCATTCCTTTCATTAAAATTCTATATATTTGAGAATAGTTTCTCTCTCTAATACTGGGTATTATCTATGTATTATAATCCTCAATTAAAGGGACTCTCTTAAATTATTTTCCAAAAGATAAAAGATTATCTTATCCTATAGAATTTCCTGACAAGTAAAAGGAAAGAATGATGAAAACAGCATTTATTTTCCTAATTTTTTATAATTATTCCTTCTGCTTTGCTGGGGCAGAAACCTGGGCTCTTTCTATGCCAAGGCTCTTTGTGAGTGCCATCAGAAGGATGCAATCATGACCTGGACCAATGAAGCCAAATTACTAACTCTGCTACTTGTTTTCATTTCTTGGTTCTCCATTAGCACAAAACTTCTGACAATCAGAAAAATTTGGCAATGAACCAAGCGAAAAGGAATACTGTTCCCTGGAATGTTAAAGAAACTGCATGCAGAAGTCCTTCTATTTAGATTAGATTTTCTTAAGAAAAGAACATTCCTGTTGTTTCCATGTACTAATAATTTTGGCTTAAAATTACAGGTGATGTTTCTTCCAGCTGAACATTTCTGCTATGTGACTAAGTAGCTCTTCCCTCAGCAAGCAAGCAAGCCAGCCCTCATATGTTTCTCCTCTTATGGTGTTCAGTGTGTGCCTGTTAAACTCTAATTAGGGTATGAGTGGTTAGCACAGACCTTAGGGCAGGTGAGGATTCTCATCAGCCAACTTTCCTCCTTGTGTTTTGGGATCAGTGGACTAAGAATTCAACCTATTGCTTTTACAAAATATAACTCAATATAGACAAAGGGCTTAATAGTGTTTCCTCCATATAAAAAAACCCAAGTGAAACATTTCCATTGATTTTTAAGGGACCAGAACCAAACCAATTTTGGTTCCTCTCTTACACACACATTATACATACAGGCACTAAAAATGCTGAATAAATCATGCATGTGAAAAATAACACAAACAGGCCCAGACAATTAGTGGGAAAAAAACTAATTAATTAAAGCAAACAAGATGCCAAGGGGAATGTTGTGCCTGACCACTCCCATATACAAGCCTAAGCTGCTGAGCTTTGGGATACAGGCATGGTACCATCTAGTTCCCTGCTCCTTTCTTTCCTACATCTGCTTCCTCTCTCCAATGAAACCATCCTGAAGGTGGTTTTTCCTGGACTTAACCCATGGGGCATTACCCAATCTGCTTCATCATCTCCCTTGGAAACCCTCTGAAACTCCTCTCTGACTGGCAGTGCTCCTCTGTGCTGTACAGCTCTAGTAGCCGCAGAAGACCAGAAGTTAGAAGCTCACTGCATATTATTAATATCTACTACAGCAGGGTATTATGTGATATGTTGCTCTAGAACAAATCAGATGCAACACACATCTGCCTTACTACTAGGATTCAAGAAAAAGAGAGGAAATCACACCTGTTCATCTTAAGTTATATCAACTTTTTAAGTAAAGAAGTTAAACCATGGATGAAAGACAAAGCATCCACTGACATTTCAACTAGCACATCTTTCCCAGTGTGCCTTTAACTTCAAAAGATTAATTTCTGAAGAAAATCTGCAGTGATGTTTTGTAATCTAATGTCCAAGTAATTATATGAACAGTTTGGGCATTTGTGTATTACTGAGTGAACTACTTCCGTATCAAAACATATTCCGTAGCAAAATGCTGACAAGGAGGAAAGAGAGAAAGCAAATAAATATGTGCACAATACAAGGACAACACAGAAATTCTTCCGTGCAAGCAACCCTTCTGAAATGCTCAACAGGTCTGCACATCCACCAGAAAGAGCTGCAGTCATGCTACTGTTTTAAGCCTTCCTCTGTAACACTCTATGTAAACTTTGGCTTCCCGCTCTTATCTGGAGCATTATGTTCTCAAAATACAGTCACAAAGACTACTGAAGTAGCAAGGTGATAAAAGGTATCATTCTGTCCAATTTTTCCTTCCTCTTTCAACTAATTTGTTCTCCAGCCAGCCATGGTGCTGTTTCCAGTAATGAATTTGCTTTCCTGATGAAACTGCTTCTTGTAATGACTTATTACACTTCTGTCTCCTTCCTAATTCAAGCACAGATACACTGTTGTAGAACTTGATTCATACTGATTGCTAAGACTGGGCCTTCTCATACGCTGGAAAGACGTTGTTTATAAGGTGTAAACACATTGAAACACGAGGAGCATGCACAGGCATGGCCTCAGAGGTACATCTGATCACAGTGTACCTCTCTCAACTACATGTCACATCAGACAATACTGCTGACCAGTGAGAATAAAAAAGCAATGCTCATAATTTATTTGCTCCTCTATCTTTTGTCACCTACTGAGAGATGTTTATTCCCAATAACTGCACACAAAACAAAGCAGACATCAACTTCTTTGATACAGTGGGTTTTTAAACCGCTCTCCTGGTTTGGGCCAGGACAGGGTTAAATTTTGCAGTAGCCAGGAGTGGGCATGGCTAGGCCCTGGAGGTTATTCCATACCACCTGAGAATAACCTCCTATACCACCTTATACCATTTTCCGACGGGGAAGGGGTCCCTACCAGGTCAGGTAGCATGGTGCCGTGGTATGGTATTGTCAAGGGTTTCCATGTGGTGAGCAATCACGTCTGAATAGCTTGCCTCTTGTACATTCTGTTATTAATATTGCTGCTGTTACTGTTCACTTTCTTATTTCATTGCTGTTTCCAGTAAATTTTTCTTATCTCACCCCTTAATCTTTACCTTTTGTGCCTCCAATTCTCCTCTCCAGCCTGCCGCATGGGAGGGGGAAGTGAGCGAGTGGCGAGGGGTTTGGAATGTTTCAATGGGAACACTAAAATTGGGGAATACCATTCCTAAACCATGACAAGCACTCACTGGCAACAATTTTTTCTCTTCTGAATGATACATCATTATTTATAAATTAAACATTGACCTACATATGCCTCCTTGCAACCTGTGGTGCTCAGTTATTAGCAGATCTCAGAGAAGAAACATATGTGTTCAAGTATTATAGCTTCTTCTTTTCTTTTTTTTTTGCTGCTACCATTGATGTTTTAGAAGTAGAGGAGGAGGAGGAGTACAAACTGGACCAGAAAAAAATTATGTTCCCTGTTTTAAAAAGAACAGCCTGACATAAGGCAGTCTATCAAAAAGAGCAGTCTGTTTTAATCCCCCCATGAGCTTACATCAGCTACTGTAGCACACGCGGCAGAACCACCACAACAAGCCAAAAGCCACACTTCTTCACGTAACATGGAATGGCTCTCAACCCTTCGCTCTTTCTGAGACCCAGCACAACACTTAAAAAGAAAAAAAATGGAAACGAAACAAGCTAACAAACAAACAAAACAGAAAACAGCCCCCCCCCCCCTCCACCCCATGACTGATTAGAGTTAATGCCCTTCTGGCGGGCACCAAAATACTTTTCCAGTTTTACTGTCTTCTTCACTCCCAGGCATCTCTGCACTCCTAAAGCAGGCTGCCCTGACATTTTCCGGTTTGGACTTTATGAGAAGGTTAACATTTTCCTCTCTCCAGTCTCTGCTTGTTCACTTGAGACGTTGAGTCACATTAGCCAGAGCAACAGCAAAGGCTTGCACTGCAGAAAATGGATACTGAAAGTCCAAAATGTAGGCATTGCCATCAATTCTTCCAAACTGCATCACCTGGGAAGCAGGGGAAGAGAAGAAGGGAAGGAAAAAGAGAAAAACGTCAAAAAAAGTGAACCACGGAAAAGGAATCAGAGAAGAATAAGAGCAAAATCTTTTTGGTCCTTTGTACGAACACCTCACCTCCTGAGGTAATGTGAATGGAGCTACTCACAGAATGGAGTTTGGTGCTGAAGAAGAGTAAGAGCACTGTACTATGTCTGTATAGAGTATTTGACTGCAATATTTGACTCTATAGAGCAAACTGAACTTTAAAATATGTTAGACTGCATACAGCCTTTATGTAAGTAAGTAGATTGTCACCAATTACTTCAGCAGATGTGAGGTACACCAGCATCATGTTTCCTGCAGGAAAATACCATTCTCTCTCTTGTAAAAATCCTATCATCAACCCATCAGGAAAACAGATTCTGTTTTCAAAGAAAAGAGCTTCCAGGGAAGGGGAATAACCAATTTTATCACTGTAGCACTTCATAGGCAGTAAGCTGCGCATTCTTTGCAGTTCTGTTTCCTTTTGCATAAACTTCACTAGCACATAATTACACTGAGAAAGAATTAGCAAAGGGGTAGCGAGAGCTGCTTGAATGCAGGGCTAGTCAGGTTGTACATTGTTCTTCTGCAGGGAATATCTGAAGTTTGGCCTATTATTACTGCTTTTTCATTCACTTCATCAGAAGCCCAGACTGTATTTGCTCAACAGTGAAGCTCCTTGAGCTATAATGGAGACTGTCTGTGCAAGTCAAGTCCGGCTCTGTTCTCTCACCACCAACAAAACCTGTGGTTGGGTGATTTCGCACAGCTGCCCATGGGCATGTATCCACAGCCATTTACCTGAAGAAGAAAGTGGTATAAATGGCTCTGATCACTGCCTTTGAGCTGTTGTTACAGACAAGCAAAACCAAAAGACTACCACTGGTCACACATGTTGGATATTTAAGACATCCAACTCCCAAGTTAAATCAGAGGAAACTGAGAACCTTGATCTCTTTAATAAACCAAAAGTGACTTACAGCTGGACAAGGAATTAAATGTGAGTCTCCTGAATCTCAGTCCAGTGTCCTGCTGATTGCCACCACTTAATAGGCTGGGTTTGGTGTAGTAGTAGTAGTAACATCCCACTTGGGCCACGTTAAATGTTTTGATTTTTTGAACTACCTGTCTACCCTTCTACCCATGGGTGGTTCAAAAGTGGCCCACAAGCACTTTGTTCTGGGGAGGGTCAGTGCCTCCCTCCTCTAGCATTAAGAACCAGCCCCAGGAGTCTGGTAACCCACAAGGGGAAATTTTGGCATGGAGAGAAGCAAACTTGTCTCTTCCTTAGCTATCTACTGACTGGCTAACCTTTGTGAGCAGGGCAAGAACGGAGCAGTGTTCACTAACTAGCTGCCATCCACAACCACCATTGATGGCAAATGCAGCTACTGTTGCAGAGATCTGTTGTGTTTATTACAACACTTTCAGTAGTGAAAGCCAGTGAGACTAAAGTTGGCCCTTAATCCCATGTCTGACTGCAGTAAGACTGAACATATTTTGTATATTTACTTTACAATTGAACTTCACTCGCCATGCTGAATCTAGACCTTTGACAGATGGTTTTTATCAACCACATGGCAAAGCTTTTTCTCACAGAGCAGCTAAATCAAGCAGGAGGCACTCAGCAGCATGAGAGACAGAGCTTATTCCTGGCATGGCTTTCCCACACCCTGGTCCCCGTTCCAACACATGTGTGCCACCCCTTCCTACCTGTCGTCCTTCCAGCTCAATCTGAAAGTTTTTTGCTGACTCCTGTGTCACCCGCCCTCCGAAGTCCAGCTGGTAGACTTGCGTCGCCTCGTTCCACAGTGGCTGCTTGTTGGCCATCACGTACACAAAGCCCTGGCTTCCCAGTCTCCCATCCTCCTTCTCGCTGGCCTTCCGGCACTTGAATTCATCCAGCTCACTGGCTGTTCTCAAACTCCTTTTGGTTTTCCAGCCCTTTTTGCTGCCCTGGCTCTGGTTCATCAGTTCATCTCCACTGATAAAAAGCTCTGGCTCACTCTCTGAACTGTCCTGAAACTCATTTGTCTTATTTAGTTTCTTGGATTTCAGCTGATCTTTCTGGCTCTTGACCTTCTTCTTCTCCCTCCCCAGCCGAGGGCTGGATATTAGTGAATTGAAGTCAGTCAGTGTCCTTGCCTCCTTTTTGACCTTGCCCTCGGTGATAGCCTGCATGTTTCCTTCCTCAGCTCGACTGTCCAGGCGTTTCCGGCTCTTCTTGCCAAATTTGTCTGTCCTTTGAGGAACAGGGCTTTCTGTCAAGGAGAGCACCTCCTGGAAAGTGTCTGCCGTCTCCACCATCACCTCTGTGCCCACGTGGCCCTGCAGCTCTGCTGGTGGGGGAGACATCACTGGCTTCTCCACCACGAGGAGCGGCTTGGGGGGCAGGGTGCCTGGGGGGTTCTGTATGGGTGGGCAGGCGCTATAGGAACTCCATGGGTGCAAGGCGATCGGTGGCAGCTGTAAACTAGAGCAAGTGCTACTTCCCGGGTACATGGGTGGCAAAGGGCAATAGGAGAGGTTGGATGGATAACCTGGCTGAAGGACAACTGTGGGCTCCTGCTGTGCAAACTGTGTTGGGGCCAGAGCTTCTTTGGGGGAGCAGGGGGCCTGCATTCCCTGAAGGGGAGGGGCACTGTAGCTTCCTGGGTAAGGTACTCCAACCCCGTAACTTGTCTGGAAGGTGGCAGTGGGACTGGTTGGAGATTTGGGGGAAACGAACGGCACTCGAGACATATCCAGATGTTGAGCTTGACCAATGATGAGCGGAGCAGGTTTTAGAGGATTGGGCACTGAGCTCTGAGATGTCCTTTCCTGAGGAACCCATATCTCTTCACTCACCATAGGGTCCCACTGGTATGGTGGTGGCCGTTTTACAGCAAGGGTAGCCTCTGTCAAGGACACAGGCGTGTGCCGTATTGATTTCTCCACTGGGCAGTGCTGAGAAAGGGCCTCATCCTCCGTGAAGGCGGAGTTGATATAATCTGCTCGGTCACGGGAATTGTCAGGTGGGCTCAGCAAGCTGTAGGAGGACTGGGAGGCCAGAGGCGAAGTACTGACAGAGTGAGCAATCACGGAGCTGTGCTGGGAGCCACTCCCTGTGCTCAGTTCAGGTCTCACGCCACCAATACTGGAAGTGCTGCTACTAGCACTGGCACTAGGGATGTTGCTTGCACCACCAGCACTTGCATTGCTGCTGCTGCCAGTGCCACCACTGCTGCACTGGCTGCAGGTGTACAAGGCGGTGGGTACTCTCTGCTGGTACTGTGCCGTCACAATGCTGCTTTTGGGTTTTGGGGGAAGTTGCAGGGTGGCTCTCTGACCATCCATCAGCTGAGCCATTTTCAGGGCTGCCTCTCTGCTGTTCCTCCGCAGAGTAGCATGAATGATAGTGCTGTCCAGCCTCTGTGCCATGCTTCTGCCCTGGGACAGCTGGCTGGCAATGTCAGGGTAGGGCGGCGGGTCCCCGGTTGGGATGGAGTAACGGGGGACTGTGAGCCGGTTCAGGGTGGCGCTGGCACAAGGCTGCTGCATCTTCTTCTCAGCAGCTGTGATGCGCAAGGTGGCGGAGCTGCCGGGACCCGGCAGGGTGTAGGTGCTCTGGGCACAGAGCATCCTGGTGCGAGGCCGGCACACCTCTTCCACGTTTCCACTGCTGTCGAATGTTGTTATCCGCTCATATCCCAGGGGTGTCTGGTAGTGCCCCGCTGGGTAGAGTGAGAACTCCCCCTTTTTGAGGCAGAGATCAAGGGGTGGCTGCGGGGGGCCAGGTGGGGGTGGAAGAGTTGGTGGGGCAGGGATGGTGCCGGGGTAGGGTGGGGGTGGGTTCATCTTGTTCAGCTGCAGCTCCTGAGTGGCCTCAAAGATGATGGCGTCACCTTCTACCAGCTGTGGCCCTGGCCGTGGGGCCTTGGCCTTGGGTGGGGGCTCATGCTCCCGGTCGCTGTGGTCCCGCAGGTCAGCCAGGGTGATGGCGGGGGGTGCGGGGGGCGGCGGGGCCAGTGGAGGTGGCGGTGGGGCCGGACGGCCCAGCTCCCCCACAGCCAGCGCCCCCACCCCCGGGCTGGGAAAGCGGCCTGGCGCTCCCGGGAAGGGTCCCGTCCCCTCACCCCCCGCTTCCGCCGGTGGGTTTGCCAGCACATCCAGCTGCACGTTCTGGTTGGCCAGCAGCGACTGGACCAGGCCGATGCTCTGTGTAGGTGACATGGCCTGTGCGGAGCTGTGGATGGGGGCGATGGGGATGTTGACGGTGCACGGCGGGCTGCTGGCGGGGGCGCCAGGGGCACCGGGCACTGCAAAGAACAACAAAGCGTGTCACCCGCTGTCTCGGCCTCCTCTCCCCATCCCAGGGATCCCTCCCATGTGATGGCAAGGTATTTGCTGTGGGGCAGCCCCAGTCACGAAGGGACTTTTTAAACTAATTATTACCTTTGTGTACTTGCTTAAGCACTCTGCTGTATCTGGATGGAGTGCTATTGGTTCCCAAAACCAACGGATCAGACCGCAGTTTGAACATGTAAGCCAGCCCATCTCCCCTGACTCCCATTGCACAAGAGCTACTTGTAACAGCTGCTGATCAACTTTAAAGCCACTTTTTGGGAGTGACGCTTCAGAGGTAAAGTTCTGAGCTTGCTTTCAGCCTACACTACAATTCCCATGGATTTCCATGGTCTGAATTACCACTCACTCATCTGGTTTTAACTACTTCTACTCAAATCAATAAAAGTTTTGCCAAATCAGGACTCACTAGTTTTCAGGGAGGGGTTTTTATAGTAAATACATCAACAAACAATGAAGAAAAACACAAGCAAACGAAAAAAAGAAGTGGAGGGTAAGAAAAAAAAGTTGAAGACCTGCACTGCAGGCACTTTATAGTATCTTGTATAATGTTCCTAGACTCAATGAGCTTAGGAAAACTGGAGAATACAGACAACAGTTGGGAAAAGGGAAGTACCATTATCTCATGAGTCCAGTGTGTAACAAACCAACCAGTAATACAAAACCAAGGAAGCTGAAACCGAGAGAGAAAGGAATATGATGGAATGAAATGTGGACAAAACTTACAGAAGTTTTTAAAAGAAGATTGGTAAGGAAGAGATGTGAGGAAATACATGGGAGGCCAGATGGGAAATGTAAGGGGAAGATGTGAGGAAACAGATGGGAAGCCAAAAAGATTCAACAGTGGGCATTGTAGTCAGGGTGACTTCAGCATCAATGCTTGGGCATGCTGCAATCCAAAATGTGAAAAGAAGCAAACGCACATAGGAAAAATTTCCCACATGTGGTGGTGGTGAAAAAGGGACAGTGTGGCAAGAAGCAACTCCCATGATTTTAAGCAGAAGCATTGAGCATGCTCAATTGTTTGCAATCCTTTTGCAAAAAGTGGTGAGAGTGTTTCCAACAGGAACTACCACTGAAAAGCTGAAGCAGGGAATGAGGACACTGGACCCAAGGTACAGGTGCAGAAGTCAAGATAAGAAGGAACACAATAGAATAATGAGGGGAAGCAGTAAAAACTATATTAGAACTCCCAAGAATATTGCAAGTTCTTTATCTTTCATTAATCTCCCTGTAAAAAACCACACAGAAAATTAGAAGTGGTGTGTATCAGCAAGTTTGTGGAAGGAAAACAGATGAGATAAAGGATCCTAAAGTCATACCAAGGATCCTTTAAGTGTGCCAAATTCTGTGGAGACCTCAGATTTGCAAGACCAGATCAGGCAAGAGATCCATTAGTCAGGGCTCCTCCAGATGCTGCCCAGTACCTAATTAAATTCTAATTAAAATTCTAGTCGTCTACCTATGCCCTATAATACATTTTCAATAGCATCATGCTTTTATCAGTATCTGAGATGAACGTGGTAGGTGTACAGACAGGACTGTGGCTATGCTGGCAAATATTTATGGTAGTTCTGCTCGTTCCTTTTGAAGAAGATGGACAGCTAAATTTAACTGACCCTAAGGCAGTGTGGTTCTGTGCTTGGCTGGTAGGCTGTGCTTTCATCCTGAAATTGCAGGTTAGCAATTTAGCTGCCAGAGCTTGAGGTTTAATTATTAGGTTGGCTTAAGCAATCCCGAATGTTGCTGTCATGGGTATTAAGTGCCTTATCAAACAAAATCTCATTTGTTGTGGTGCTGCTTAATATTCCAAAGTGTTTAAATCCAATGTTTTCTTCATTTCTCCAATGGTTTTTAATTGATTTGTTTGCATACTTTGTAAGTTAAATCAATTCACTGTGCATTTGTCTTTTCAAATCTTTACTGACTACATTAAGAAACATATGTCCCAAGGGTACCTCACTATGAACATTCCACTGCCCAAAAGCAGCTTTCTACTATGTCTTTTTTAATCTGCCATGTAATCATTATTTACACTGCAATATTTTTCCCACTAGTACATGGCACTTTTTTCCTTCATATGTAGACTTTAAGAAAAGATATCCCCAGAAATATTTCTGATTATTTAAGTAGCCACCATTTGTTAAGACAGAAATGAATTTTCAGAAGAAACTAGAAAGGAAAAAGTGGACAAGAAAAGGAAAGCTATTATGAAAGGCAGGGTAGTATGATTCTTTTACTAGACTTCTAAAAGAATTGTAACAAAATTCTGTAACAATTTTCTCTCTGTATGTGGTGTATCTGCAATTCTGACTACCATTTCATCTCTTCAATAAGATAAAAGGAATTTATATTGCAGAACCCATGCAATCTTCAGGAAGACATGCAAAAACGTTATATTAAATTTTTTCTTTTCTATTTAGTTTTTATATTACTTTCTGTCAGCTTGGACCATGTTTCATAATAGAGAATGTTGAGTGCTTCCTATTAATAAAATATATACAATCATCAATGTCTCTATTATTTCTTCAGAACCTACAGGTGGAGATCATGTTGACAGAAATGAGGCAAGCCAAGTCTCCCAAATTGTGAAAAAACGGGCTTCATTTTAAACATACAAGAATTTCTTTAGAAGTCCAGAAGACTACTCTGATGCTTGGGTCATCACAAGTTTAGCTGCTTTCAGTAGTTGAAACCCTGGTCTGAAATAATGGGAGCATTTCCATTTATTTCAATAGACTCTAGCACAGTAAAGACAACTTTAATTGCTCTGCAGTGCTCACACTCCTTCGTTCTTAAAGGGTACTGTGGCACGATGGCCACTTCTGTAGTTCCAAACACCTGTGATTTGGCAAAAGGAATCCCTCACTGATATGAAAATTCTGAAAATGTATGAACTTATCTTCTTGTCTATTAGTTTTTAGTTTCACCAGCATGATGATTTTTTTGATTGGAGGAGGTCCTGAATTCTTCCCGTCCTTTTACCTGCCACATCACATCAACTACACCGCTTGAATCTTCTGGTACTTTACATCTCAGTGAAATGAAAAGTTCTTCCTGATCCCACTTGTTGATCAACCACTTCACTATTTTAGCCTCTTAATATTGATAAAAGTCCAAATGGGCATTATCACTTCTCAAAGGGTGGCTAAGTATTATGGGAACCTGCCCCTCAACCCAAGCTCATCAGCAGGCTGTGCTTTGATGCCATCAGGACTCAAGAACCATCTGTTTGGGCTTCCAACACATTACAATTCTGTCCTATCAAGATGCAGAATGCAAGGCTTCAGTTTATGGAGAATTCTTAGCAAACTAAGATGAATCAGCAGATGACTACTTTTCCAGTGAACCTGAAACTTAGCAGCTCTACATGGATTATATTTTCCACATGTATCAGAAAACAATGCCTATAATATATATTAGCCTTATTCTAATTTGGTTTTACAGGATCCCATCAGACTAAGGGATTTTGATTTGTGTGTTTACCACAGGGGACCATAACACAAATGACCTGTCCTTCATCTAGCTTAACCCATAACATGGCAGACCTGCAGCTCCTCCTTACCTGGTAAATCATCTTCGTCTTCGCTGAAAACATTTGGATTAAAGACAGGCATGTTAATGTAGTCCATTGAAATCTTCCGCACTTCTGGGAGATATATTGTCATTTGCCTGGGCTGCAGATGCAGCAAACTGGTTTTATATATTACTAGAGAAAGAGTATAACAAGAAATAAAAAAAATCTGTTACACAAAGAGCATCTAAACCTAAGAAAGAATTAATTCAAAGCAGACAGAAGAGCTATGAATATTATTATTTACTATACACATGTGCATGGGTGAACCATTATTTGTCAAATTACTACATAACACTTTGCATAAACAGGATAAAAGAGATTGTAACTTTTAGCTATTTCTCTTTAAATGGAAACAGCATCTCTGTAGTTAAATAATACATAGAAATAATGAATTACTTCATCTTTTATTCACATCTACTTTTATGGAAGGAAAATACTCTTTGGAACTCTTCACCACAGGATGCTACTGACTTACATGACTTTAGGGGAAAACTGGAAAGTTTTCAGGAAGGAAATCTTTTGAAGATTACTACATACAAAGAAACCCCTCATGGCTCAGGAAGTCCCTGGGACCCAAACACTGGAGATTGGGAGAACATTTGAAGGAATTATCACTATACACTTACACTACACTTACATCCTTCCCCACTGACAATGAGAGAATTAGAATGACTTCTGGTCATTCTACTACTGATAGCAGTCAACATAGCCACAAAAAGCATCTATCTAATTCTGCATTCAGGGAATCCATATGTACTCCTGATCTAACTATATAATGCAACACAGGAAAACATAAGTTTTCCAAAGAGCTCATTAAACTGCTATACTTGCATTAATATTTCAGTTCAGAGCTCAGTTCTACTAGGTGGTACCCTGCTCTTTTCTCAGACTTCTTCCTTCCAACAGAACTATCTGGGTAGGACTGGCCTACCCAAAACAAGGTTGATACTTTTAATGAAGGCTACCAGATTACTGATGCTCCAGCAGGTGAACCTACTCATGCTCCAGCAGGAGAACCCTATGATAAGGCTATGTACTGACCTGAAGAATCTTGAGCATGATGCTGTAAGAGCTTTTTTAACATTATTTTTGTATAATTTCTAGCTAAATGACTACAAAAATCTGACTATTAAAAATATTTCTATTACAGTAACTTAATACCCATGATTTTTATACTCTTGCAAAAACTTTTTTCATTTGTGTGGGTTTTGTTCAAATAACTGTAAAAATAAAGGTCTGGGCTTGAATGTTAATTAATCAGTTTATTACAAGTGAGACTTTTAGCATTTTATTGATCATGTCATTATTGTATTTATAGATTTTGATCTCCTTTAGTTACAGTGAATTTCATAAAATCTAATTCCTATTGTCCACAGAAAATAAGTGCTTTGTTAAAGAAGTCTTTTGATCACTTAAAAAGAATGCCATGGCATAAGTTTGTTGTTTGTTAGAAAGAATTTGACATGTAAAAAAATCAACAGAGTTCACTTTTACCTGCACCAAGGTTAGTTGGTAGGAAAGCAGCCAAACCCACAATTTTAAATTTGGTTCCCCAGATATTAGATGTGACCTGAGCAAGGTAGTTGTGCTGCAAAGCAAAAACAAGATCATTTTTACCTGATAAAATCTGTATCAAACTCTAATAAAGAACTGCAGAGCAATCAAGCTATTGCACGTGATAATGCAATTTCAGCTTCTCTTGTTTTTATTGTATTGAAACAGCCTAATGTGCCTTTGTAGCAACTGAACAACACACTGCCTGCTCAGTGAGAATAGGTCTGTTTTCAAATGCTTGCTTTTCTGCACAGCAAGAGCATGGCTGTTTTGTATTTCAGAAAGTAATACACTCTGCCCGTTGGTTCTATGCTTGAGTCACTTTATAAAACAATAAGGCACAAATTAATTATTCATAACAGCAAACATATTTTTCCCTGGAGCTCCTAAAGCAACTTTCCAAACCATTGCTGCCATGGTGAATATATTATGGGTCTGAAAGACCAAGAGATTTTTCTCAAAGGCCAGGAGTTATGCTGTCAATATTAAGAGCAGGATCTAAGCCTCAGGTCTCCTGCCCTATTCAAGGGACTTTTGGTCCTATCTCTGTGTAACTATCTAGAATTTTTCATAAAAAGGAAAAAGTGAAACAAGAGAGCAGAAAAAACCAAAGCAAACCAAACCAAATTAAAAGAATGCAGGCTGTTATTAATCAAATATGTAACCCAGATAGTTCTACAGCCTCCTAAGTTTCATTTACCCTGAGGACATGAACATCACAAAGAGTACAAAGCGCTAATTCCTTGCCTTCCTTCCAGTTAAGACTGTTCCACGCAATTATGAAACAGAGAACACTGAAGCAGAGAACTCTGAAGCAAACATTTCCTTATCTCAGCAATCCTTAGCAAAGCAGAGAATTATGGTGGTATTAAGACAGCTCTGAGAAACGAATGAAGCATTTTCACATTTTTACAAAGCCAACAATATCACTTGGAATAAAACTTCTCACATGGATTTGCACTGACAAAAATGAGTGGTGATGGGATTTATCAAACAACACCTGATATTCCATTGGCACTTTTGAACATTGATATTTAACTGGAAGGTGCAATTCTCTAGTTGTTCCTTCTAGCAACTGTAATTAGATAAAATTTTTTAATTGGTGAACATTGGATCTCTATCACAACTTGCTGCCTCTTGAAGAAAATCCATTTGAATCAGGTATGGTAACAATATGCACGATACCTGGCTAATATCTTCTAAAGGAAACTCTCTTCGGGTCAGGCTTGGTGAACCAATAGAGGGTTTCCTTATTGGTAACCTTGGTGATCTTGATATCTCCTGCGCAGCTCGGGACATCTTTGGAGATTTGCGAGCTTCTATATTGATTCTGCAGATAAAGCAATAATTAGAATCATCAGTGGGCATGGAAAAATGCACAAAACTCATGTCTTTGAGAGTAAAGATATAATGAAGACAACTAGTGTGGTGTTCTCTAAGTGGCTAATAAAGAGTCTACAAATCAGAGAATTATGGGTCAAAATAAAACATATAGAAGACCTGATACACTTGCAGTAAGTCATATCTCCCACTATGCAAAGGGGGTCAAGAATATGAGTTCAGCCACCTGAAAGAGCTCAGTGGTAGAAAAAGTAACAAACAGAAGTTGCATTTCAAAAGTATGCTCTTAGAAAACCAAGGGTGCAAGATAGTTGTTTTTCCTGAGCCCATTCAGGTTTAGGCTCAGGAACTGATGGTTCTTTTGTCAAGTTTGGCTCTTTTGCCAAACTAAAACTTTGGTATTTCACACACTGTGTTCACACATAAAAGGATGCATTTGCTCTCCCTCATACCAGGGCAAGCTCATAATACAGTCTTGGGAAAAGTGTCAACTGCAGCTAGAAGGCATCAGGGCCTTAATTCTGTAACAAGAAGCTGGCATATAGAGGTCAGTGCCTATGAGAACCACCACAGACATCAGTAAGGCTCCGTGCAGGTTTGGGGATTCTGTCTATGCACATAATGAATATAATGAAGAGCTGTCAGGAAAACAACTGGACAAATTAATAGCTTGGAAGTTTGATTTGCATATTGCTACAGAACCTTGTCAACACAGTGTTTAGGAGGGTCTGTTTGTTAAGGCTCCCTTGAAAGGTAACCACAGCATCAGTGCCACCTGTCAGGATCTATGCCACCTATGCATGAACATATGACTTTGAAAATATCCCTGAGGAAATAAAGGTTTTAACTAGATCAGGGACTCTAAGCACTGAGGGGGTAAAAACACAGTCTGTTTGAAGGACAAATATATTCCATGGTGGCAAGAGTTCATATGTGGCAAAGACAGAGGTGGGAGAGTTTATAAAATCTTTCTTTGATGCCTAGGGAGAAGTGGTGCCCTATTGTTTCCCATTACATTTTGCCCCAGAATCTTCCACGAAGTCCAATCTCTGACATTGTCCCATAACTGCACACTGAAGAAGACCCCAATCCTATGATTCCTATCTACCCAAAGGAGTCTGCTTTTAATTTTACAAGGGGTCAAGACAGTAAGAGATACAGAGAAAGGGGGAAAGAGACAGAGAGATCGAACACATGGGGAAGAAGAAGAAGAAATATCCAAGAAATTATTACCTGGGGAGTTTAGGTGATTTGCTAGCTCGACTGATTTTTGGAGATTTCTTTGCTGCCCAGTCATCGCTGAGTTCAATATCACTGGAGTCAGAGCAGTTGCAGCTGTCAATCACAGTGGAAATCAAGCTGTTTCCATAGATTTCATCTATCAAGACAGGCCCCAGAAAATTTAAGTGCTACTTCAGAAAACTGCTATAAATTACAACTCTCAGTGACCAGAAGCATAAACCCAATTCACAAGCAGCAGTTGAAATAAAACTAGGCAGAGAAAAAGTAAACATTCTTCATCCTGCCTAGTATAAACTCCAAATTTGCAATAGTTTGAACTCAAGCGAACATGATTCAGAGAGGTGAATAGCATTCAACTGACTTCAAAATTGAGACTAAAGAATATTTTCTTCTAATTAGCAGTCTATTTTCCATTACAAGAAGTTCTCTTCTGTAAAACAAAAGGCAGCATGGTATAATTTCAGAGGCTTGAGTCTAGGTCATGCTAAAGATTTTTTCACATAAGAAAAAATATCAGACGCCACCATTTATGTTGCATACATATATATTTTTAAACTCTTGAGGATTTAATATCAAAAGTATTTCTAAATAATTTTTTATACAGAACAACAATTCAATTCTACCTGCTTTTCCATCTGTTTTAGGATCCATGATGACAAACTCCGGCCGCAACTTGCTGATACGACGTCCTTTCAGGATAGGCACCAGTCCCCCAAGGTATTCCAAGTACAGGGTATAACATGGACCACCAACCTCTGGGTCATCTTCTGTCCGCTTCATTGTGCAGTGAAGCCGTTCATTACCAGCTGTTGGGTAGCTGACAAAGTCTCTCATATTGTTTGGGTCTGGGATAGGAGGCTTAATTAAATGAAGGAAGGAAAGAGAAAGTTTCCTATAGGTTATTGGTTGCTTTTTTTCCTATGGTGACTTAATCCCAACAAAACTAACTGAATTTGAACCCAGCTCTAATTTGGTAGGTGAAGATTAGTACAGGTTACTCTGTGAGTTATGCAGGACCCACATGCAAGAAAGACAGTGTCTGTGTATTATTTGGTTGGGTCAAAAGCAGTTGTACACAGAAAACTACAACTAGTTACATCAAAAAGGATGTGGTCAGAGGACTGAACTAGAAAATAAACCTGTCTTCAAGTTTTGGCTTGTATCACAGACGTCTTTTCGAACCTGAGTAATGTGGTCAAGTCAAAGAGTATCTTGTCTCTTGTAGGCCCTCCAAGCGAACCTGGCCACTCAGATTCCCACTGCTGGTTAGTAATAGTACATGTATTGCCACTACGCTACAATGCTGTCAGCTCTGAAAGAAGCTTGTACTTCTTATATCACTTCCAAGCACATCTTTGCTGAGGGCCTATTCGTGTGCAATGTCAAGAAATACAAGCACATAGCTCAGGGTGGGTTACTTTGCCCTGCTTGCAAGCCACACTGTGTTAATCCATGAAAAACTAGGTTCTAAAGCAGTAGGACAGCTTTTGTGTAGGACAATATAGCCCGTATGACACAAATACTATTAATGTGTATAAGTCAACACAATTTCTTTCAAAATGAAAGCACGAGGAAAAAAAAAGGTAGGGAAAAATAGGCTTTCTTAACCTTGCAAGATGGATATGGGCTGAGGAGTGACCTACAATGTAGTCCGTGAATTGAAGGGAGAAGAGGAACGCGCGCATGAAAGAGGGTGCCTTTGCAAGCACTGAAGGCATGGCTGACAACGTAGGTTGAGCATGTGGCTGGGTGAGAGCCCAGTGTAAAGTATAAATAAGTGCTGAGGAAGCTCCAGAAACACCCACGGAAGAGCACAGGGAAGGCTTCTGGAAACCCTGCTTCAGCCTCTCAGCTTCAGCCTCGCAGCCCCACAACTGTTACCCATCCGGTCTCAGAGGTGACAGAAGGCTTGTTGGCAACAATGTGCCCCTGTACTGCCTCTGCCCCTCTGAGCCCCACCATGGCTCCCAGCCTTGCTACAGCCAACTGCTGTCTTCATCCTCTCCCCTCCCCTGCTTTCCCTAACAGCCAAGCAATTTTCACTGATGCTCTAGAGAGCTGCAGGGCTGGCTCTGGAATAACATGGAAAGAAGCATCCTGGAGAGAAGGAGACATTCTAGAAAGAAGTGAGGATCACTGGTTAATTAGATGCTCTGCATCTTTGGGGATGGAGGTCTTATGGTTACAGCAAGACATTTATTCTTCTATGACAAGTGAAATGTTTTACAGTTGCACAAACTGCCCTGATTAGCACTACCCAAATGGAATCATGCTGAATTATTATTTTTTAGGCAAAATTTGTTCTCATTTAAGCTGGGCCAGCCCCACTGATTTCAAATTAGCTGTTCTAGCTCTGCCTTGTTTTGACAAGGACCTGAAGCTGGCTCAAGAGAATGCTGTAGCACGTACACAAAAAAATCACAAAAAAGTGTGTTTGAATGTTGAGCATTTACCAGCTAATGCTCTGGTTTATAGGCTGTGATAAAAAGTTTGGAAATCCAAAGATGTTACTGAGGGCAAAACCATGAAACAAGCACGTTGTGCAGATGGTTCTGCTCGCGGTACAGGAAAAGGTGTAATATCTGGTTCATTTTTCCATAGCACTGTTGGAGCAGCAAGGTAAGCAGAACTCATTATTAGTAGAAATACTTGGGAGCCCCAGGTCCTAAGTCTAACTTTCCTGGCAATATAAGCACTCGTGACATGCAGGGAGGCAACAGTTTTACCACTGTGAATCCCTCCTATAACCATGACACAGTATTATCATCAGCATGAGCTTCTTCACAAGTCTTTGTGAGTCACTAGCATATTTTACCCCTGTAATGTACTTGGAAAAGCCATCTCCATGGAATAATGCAGATTAGCATGTGTCAGCCTTCTTTTCAGATTTTTCATAGGCACCAAATGCATCAGAGGGCTCTTGAAGAGGACAGGAATGACCCTTAATCAAGCTTCTAAAATGATAATTATAATAATATGTTACAATTTAGCCATTGTCACTTAGGAGCACCACGGGGGAGAAATCTAGTAACCCTTTCCTCCTCCTCCCAAGACACACATTTCTTTCCTTTTACCTTGATTGTTGGTATAAAGGCAGTGGTGAGGTACGAGCAGAGCCGAGGGGGCAAGGTGAGTTTGCTGATGTCCTTGTCATCCCGCAGACAGCTAGCTATGGTCTGCTGGCACAGCAGCTGCAGGCTGGAGACCCTGTGCTCGACTCTGACTACATACAATGCAGGTCCGGAAGCCATCAGCAGGCGTGAATCCCTGTGACCCCAACAGATGGAGATGATGGGACGCTGCATGAAGAGCAAAAGGATACTACTTTAAAAGAATTTCTTAAAAGATCTTTTGCCAAGATAGCTGCACAGCAAGTGATCACATGAATTCAGCACCGATCACGTTACCCTAAGTCTTGCAGAAACTTAAAAGTGCCCGCTACTGCCACAAAAAGGGAGAAGAACAGGAACATCCAAAATCATCAATAACAGCAGTTGATATTTATATAGTGCTTTTTACTCAGAAGGCTTCATCACACAAGAAATCATCTACCAAATTCAGTACCTAGATAAGCGACTTTAAAGTCACACAGTGTTAAAAAGCAGGATCTTTTGATGCCCTATTCAAATGATTTTTTCAGTCATCTAATCAAGCCTCATCCACTGGCAACATCTCACATTTTACAACTGAAAAGTTAAATTATATGCCCAGAGACAGAAAATGAGTGGAGAAAATCCAATCAGCTTTCTTGTCTTGCACTGACTTTTCCACTGCACAGTGTCTCTTTTGAACTATTCCCAGAGGAAATGAACTGTGAAAGAGAACTAGTAACAAAACAGAGAATGGCCTTTTGTCTTCTGCTTTTCTACACTCAGAAATGTCTAAATCATGACAGTAAAACTAGAAAGAGTGAGGGGCAACTGATACTAGGTGTTACAATGCAGAATAAACGACTACTGTTTTGGACATTATTGCCTGCTTGCAAGGAGCCCTCTAAACTTTCCTCCTAAATCCCATTTTTTCATGTAAAGTACCAGTCTGTTGAGACCTCTTATAGCTCTATCACCATTACTTTTGCCCTTCATAAGTGTTAGTTGCATCCACCTGTCATCTCTTGCTTTCTGAGTTAGAAAGCACCTGTATTTGCATATACGCACACACCCTGTGGTATTTCAATCCCCTATCTGCTATCTCTATACAAATAAACAACATGGAGTAAAGATGAAACTCTCACTCCATGAAGAATACTATACAAGAGGCTGCGATCAGTGAACTACGAAAGGTTTACTCCTTCCTGTGAAGGGCTTCCTTATTTTCACAATCTATGACACTCAAAAGTTTAAGCAAACATGTTTTTCATCTAAATAATGAACTGTATTTACTGAAAGGTCAGGGTATCTTCGGAATATTTTTTCATAACAGATGCACCAAACAAGAAGATAGGGTCAAGGCACCACCAGTAATAGCTTTTATCCACTCCTCTATTAGCAATATGGTACCCAGATAGCAGGGTTACATCAGCCCAGAAGTTACTAATCTAGTGTGGGGGAAAAGCTTCAAGATTCAAGATGCTTAAAGGTGAGAAACTGGGAAAATATGTTTTGATATGAATGATATGAAGCAAAATGCAGCTGCATAGCACTACCATCAAGATAAAGCATTTGATGAAAAACTTCACAGAAAAGATCTTCCCTACTACGTCATCTTATCCTAGACTCAGATTTCAAGGAAAATGTTGGTTTTAAAGTGGGAGAAATGAAGAAGCTTCAACTTAATTACATCTAGGCAACACCACACAGACACACACACACACACACTTCCACGAAGGCACAAATCTTCAGGCTGACTGATATGCAAATAGAAAGCAGCAACACGTGAACCTTGTAATTTTCACAGTAATTGCTAAAGGCATTTTGTAGTGGAGAACTTCAAAAGAATTGAGAAACCCTTTGTGTACCACCAATAATTACTACATAGCTTGTCCTGACCACAATCTGTGGGATACAGCCTTAAATTTAAGGAGAGATCACATAAAGTATCACCTACTGATTGGTATTTTCATAATTTGTGAGTGTGGCTCAGCCCTCATACTGTCTGGCAATAATGAGACAGTTCAAGCTGCTTGCAAAATAAATGCAATTGAAAAGGCACCGGCACAAGTTAGGTACCAGCCATGTCTACTATATGACAGTCTGAGAATGGCACTAGTAGAAGTGACCTTGATTTTCCCCAAGGGCTGAATTCCAGCATGGGAAGAACTATTCACCTGACTGTTACGATGGGATCCAAATGTCATTCTTTTATTCACTTTGCATCAACTACTTCCCTAGCTTACCTATAAATATAGTGAGGGAACAAACAAGTATGTGACTTGGCACACAAATGTTTATTTATTGTGTAAACTTTGATGCCAAAAGAGAAGTCTGATATCCCAGCTATCATAATCCAACACAGCATACCCAGACAGCCCTACCACAGTGTTGAGTATTGCAGCTATTATAACCCAATATATCACACCCAGATAGGACACTCTTCATCCAAGTAAGAGTCAAATGAAACCACTTCTTTTCTCAGGTTACTCTGCATGCAGAGAACAGCAGAGATGCAGATAGTACCAGCACAAGAACCTTTGCAATCTTAAACATAGTCTCAAGGAAAAGGTTTTTCAGAAGCTTTGAAGCACTGGGTGGGACCTCCAGCAACACAGCACCATGGAGCTCAGGAAGAGCAGAAAGTCAGAAGCTGAAAGACATTGCCTTCCTGCCTGGCTTCACCACAGTTTTCCAAAGGGCAACCATAGTTCAGTCACCTTCTGCATGGCCAGTCTTCGCGAACGAAGATTTTTGGGAAAGGTCTTTTACCTTTTGAGCCCACAGAATGGGTTTTTTTAGGTGAGACACAGCATGCGCTGAACTGAGCCCACCCTTTAATCCTAAGGTTCATCTGCTGGGGCCAAGTGAGCTTGGACAATGGCAGCGAGGTCCTCAGGACGTAGGTTTGTTTAGAGTGACCTTCTCATAGATGGATGGCCTTACAGGGCTGACGAGCTCCATCTGCCCGGGGGAGTATCCCTGACCAGGAATCGAACCCCGGGCCACGGCGGTGAGAGCGCCGTATCCTAACCACTAGACCACCAGGGGTCCCCTTAGTCACCTTCTAAACTTCTGAATGTATAATGCCCTTACATTCTGTACTTTCATGCAAACAATATGTGAGTGGGCGCATGTTTAAATAAACACACAACATACAACACCTACAAGTGTAGTACTGTTTGTAAATAATGACACTTCTACTCTTCCCTTTGTACAGTTCATATCCCCACACAGCTTGTATGTTTTAATATTTTCAATCTCATCAAAGAGCACTTGTACCACACTGGTTTGTCTTTGCTTACTGATTCACCAGACACACCTTGCCTTCCTTTTCTATTAAATGCTCAGACCCTTCGTACTCCTCAAGCCTAGTATTCAGTAACATTTCCTTTATGGTTAAAGGCTAAGATTTAAGAGGAGATTCAGGGAAAATTAGCCTGTTGTTACAGTCTTCAAGAAAGAAAAGATCACCCAAATGCCAGAGCTGACCTGACCTTTAAGTGTATTGCTCCAATAATATTTTTCAATAACTATGCTTCCCACTCTTCCCCTTGATGGACAGGGGATATGAATCAATTACTACAGCAAGTCAGTTATGAGCTGGCCACAGCTTTCCTTTCAACCTCTACTGAGAGAAAACAATTGAACTCCAACATCCAACACAAAAGTATTGCTACTCATAAAGCATCCACTTATTTGCACTGTTTTAGCAAAAAAAAAAGGACAAAAGTTGTACCCAAATTGCACCTGTTAGAAAGTGAACAAGCAGACTCTAGCACAGAAGAATTTTATTTTCTATGTTTGCATAGTTGTTTTTTTCTGCTAAAAACAAAGAAATGCAGCTACAAATATAACATGAGAATTTCTAATCTCACTTTGCATATAAAAATCCCATCAGGTTTTGAAAAATCTCAGAACAAACTGTAAATACCTGAATGAATTCCAGGGTCTAAATACAAACACATAGGAAAAATAATCATGGAAAACCCCTTGAATTTGAACACATAGGTAGGATTCCGCTCTATCACAATTAAGTATTAGAAATAATTGGCTAAAGGACAAAAAAAAAAAAGAGGCTTTATCAGGAGAAATATTGACTGAAAACACATCTCAGCAAGTGTCCAACAAGGAGCTCTTTTGCCATTTCTTTCAGAGTCAGCTTGAAACTCAGAAACATCTACTCAAATCTGTACCCCAGCTGGGATGTTGGCTCCCCTTAGAAAAACATGCAGGAATAGATATTCCTGCTCAAAGCTCTGTGGTTGCTTCTTGTAAGTCACTCATCTGTCTCTCTTACAGGAGAGAACATAATTTATATACCTTCCATCACTTGTATGCAGTTCAGTCAATGAAAACACTGTTCAAGCTGATTCTTGCTGCCTGCCTTGAGCTCAGAAATCCTGAGCCATGGGGCCTGCCTGCTGCTTGAACAAATCCCTTCTTTGCTGGCACTTGGACTCCCACTGGTAATGAAACAACAATGGTATTCTAGGGCAGAAAGCCCAGGAACTAGCAGGACTTTTCTCAGGAGAAAAAACACAACTGCAAAACAGTATCTAGCAAATGGCACGTGTAAGTACGTTGCTAGCTTGCTCTCACTTGAGACTGCTGACGTGGTGATGCACAATTTTCCCTCTGTTTTTCTCAGAGACAAGCTGAAAGGTGCAATGGCTGCAGTGCCCACCTGGCTCTTGGGAATTGTGTGTGCACATCTCTGTACTGCCACAGCATTTGTGGATGGTTGCTGGAAAGGAACATAACTCCTTCGTTCTTCTGTTCCCCATATTTACAGTGGGAAAAATATCAACTGTTAAGAACTGGTGGTGATAAAAGCAATAAAGACTATGACATGGTCAGAAATTACACTGCTGTGGCCTTACATGATTTTTCATATAATAAACTCTTATTTGACTTGCAAATGTTTCTCATATGCTATTTCTACAGTAATTTTTTTTAAAGAAGTCACTACAAGAAGATTCAATTTTAGCAGAATGAGTCTTTGCTTAGACAAGTGTCTCCATTTTCCACTCCTGATCACAATCCGTTTCTGCAGCAGTCAGAGATGATCTTATGTCCTATATGAAATATATCAAGGTCCTTGTTGATATCCTAAAGCATGTTTCATCAGTTATTTCTAAACTGTTGCTTTTGTTTCTGTAAGAAAAGAAATTCTTCTTGAACCTTTGTTGTCATCCAATAACAACTAAATAGGATTGATTTCATGCAATATAAATGAAAGTCAACATGAACGCTCAGTCAACCTGAACGCTCTGTGTGAAATAAATGAAGATAAGCTCAGCTGAGTAACATAAAAAGCAGCCTCATCTCTCATAGCCTTTTGATCTGAATTTAACCTAAAATTGCACCTTCCTTCTCAGGCCTGAGTAAAATAGCTTTTACAGAACTACAAGATTTCTGTGGGATCACATAATCTTAAATCTATTCATTCAGATGCTGAGATATTTCAGCAGTGGAGAAGCAGCCTGTAAAACGCTGACAGCAGTAGGTCTATAGCAAGTGGGTCTTCTTCTCAAAGACTTCTGGGAACTTCTCCCATAAAGATTTAGTGTTTACTACACCACTTTGAATTAGGGTTTAAAAATATTAGAGAGAAATACAGTTTTTCAGCATTTAATCTCACTGTCTATACAACATGTGAGGCTTAGTTCACTCTCCTCCTCCTTGTTCACTACCCTTGAGGTTTAATCTGTCCTTACACAGTGATATAAAATCTTAAGCTAATGTAAATTTACTGTAGAAGTAAAGGTGTATAGATAAGATCTGCATTCTAAATCTGCGCTCTTGTTCCCCTCCCTCTTGGGACATATAAAAAATTATAAAAAGTGAAAAAGGAACCAAAATATAAGGTACAACTTTGAACCATCAGATGGAAAAAAATCACAAGTTTGTTAAAGTTGGAAGTTAGATAATTTTGTAGTGTAGGAAACTCCTGTTTAAAGATACAGGAAGATATGAAGCAGCTGTATCCACTCAGAAGTGACAGCAGGTACAGTTAGTTGATATAATAAAGACCTGTCTGCACATTAGATGAGAAATTCTGAAGTGACAGAACTGGGTTGCAGCATTTCCACCAAACAATTTTAGCAAGAGTGTAAAATAGTCTAAATGAGTTGATCATTCTCATCCCTGCTTGATGCCAGTGAAAGGTTTTTGGGACTTAACAAACAATGTCATAAATTAACATTCTTCCAGTAATAAAATTATGACCAGCAGGGCAGCCTGCTGTTGTAATCACATTTTCAAATTTTGAAAAAGCAGGACCATGGAAAAAACTGCCAGCTAAAATAACTGGGCATATTTTTGGTACATGAGGTTGCTGTTCATGTGTACAAGTCTAGTACAACAAAAATTTTACAGAAATCGATAGTACATTTTTGAACAGTCATCAGCTGATCAACAGCTCTTAAGATATGCTCTTTATGTAAAGCAAATAACCAGTATCAACTCTGAAGTCACAGTATGGACACAGTTTGGTCTGGTGTGATATTCTGAAGTTTCTTCCAAAATTTGTTCATCATTCTTTCAAAGTTCAAACCAGTTTTATTCTGCGTAGCAAAAATTCAATATTGGACCAATCCTTACTGATACTTTTTCAGTTCTTTCCACTACATTCTGGAAATACATTCTTGCAGTATGCCAGGGTGGCAGGCTGAAGCCCCAGAGCAGGGAACAGGAGACAGTGTTACACTATGTTTATACCACTCTGTTTATGAATGCTGTTTTTCATGCAAAACTACTGCTTTCATTTCAATACTTCTAAACAAGTGTGATTTCTCTCTCCGGGGTATTATAGTCAGCAAACTAAGTTTATGAACTATAAATTTCTACACTGAAGGTAAAAGCTTAAGAGAGTGAATCAAATGAGACAGACGATGCCAAAATCACACTAAAGCTGGAGGAGAAGAGAGCATATAAAACACCTTGAAGGGATCCAAGACAATAGTCATCATCAAGATGAGTTACCTGCAGTTCCCAAATCTATTCTACCTTTGGGGTTTGCAGTGATTTTATGTTCAGTAACATTCCAGTCAAGTTGCATATTTTAGACTGAGTTCTGTTATAAACAATAAAATCTCCTGTTTCCTGAATATCCTACTGAAGACAGGACAGACAAACAGCAGAAACAAAAACAATTCAGTATATTTTACTGATAAAATTAATCTTCAGATAAAATTAATTTTCAGACATATGCTTTACCAAAGAACTGGGACAGAGGACCATATCGAAAATCAGTTTTACACCTGTAATCCACCATCTTCTATGTTCATGGCTGTTTTACTTTTTCTGGCCTTTATGTTCAGAACAACAGTCATTTAGAATAAATGTGCCTTTCCGGTCACACATTTCTTCTTCAGAAGAAAAAGTTTTAGCAGAGGAGTTCAAAATGAGGAAATTCTTTTATTTTATTCTTTTTTTTCCTTCAATAACCAGTAATGAATTTTATAAAATCACATTGAAAGGCTGACTGTCACGGTACAGAAAACTAATTAATCTGCTCTGATGAATTTGTCATGAGACAAATTACTGGGACCACTGACTCACTCTGTCATTGTTGCATATACATTTTTGGAGCAGAGGCATAGCATAACAAAAGTTACTAGCAATTTTCTTTTGCAACGAGTTTTTTTATCTGGCTTTGTTAGTACACTGATTACTTAACAATGTTCTAGCATACCTGTCACTTAGCTGGTAATGCTGCTAGATCAGCATTCAAATACATAAAAGAATAAAGTCCACATGAGCAGATACAGGTGTCCTTCTGAAAAACCCCTCACTTCCTCCTGCAGCTGAGTAAATATGAATTTAAATGCACCAAATAAAGAGAATAAACACTAACTAATAAGAGAAGAGGAGTGGCTCTAATTTTAGGTAGGTGTATGCACATATATTTATGTTTTTTATTAAACATAATATATCCGTTTGAATGTTATTTTTATCCCGGTTTCCAAAGGAAATGAGACTCCATGATTCTGTTATTAAGTGGTGATAGCCACCCACTGACTCTCCCCATCCTTCACTTCCAGCCTGGTTTACAACTTCCCAAGTTGTTGGCTTTTCATCTGCAGTTGACAATGTGGGAAGAAATCTCCATTACACTAAAATACTGCCATTTCCATGAAAACTAGCAGCTGGAAAGAGTTGAGAGACTTACATTAGTACTTTTACAATGAGAAATACTGCAATATAAACTTGATAGTAACCTGTTCTGTCTGGCCTGTCAGTTGCCCTAGAAGTACTCATATAATGGCAGAATGATTAGCCCTCACGTCAGCCACAGTATGTGCTTTCTCCCAGATGATTAAGTAGAGGAGAAAGGAGAAGAGCTGAAAACATGAAGCTATATATGGAAAACTACAGGAGATGAAGGTATTTAAATTAGGGAGAATTTGAGATTACCAGGAACAAAACAGTAAGAGAAGAGCCTGCACACACTCATACTTGAAGGCAACCTGGCCTGATCCGATCATATGCTCCAACCACAGTGTGATTTCACAGCTTAACACCAGTGTTACACTGGTTCAACAGCTAATGTGGACATACTGTATTCTGGTACTGAAGTAACAGAACAAGGTTTGCTTTTTACCTAGTGTGGGAAAAAGCAACACTGATATAAATATGTTTTCTTTAGAACTGATCCAGAGAGGAAAGGGCTGTGCTACTTTGCTGAAGAGGCTATGTTTAAGACAATAAAGCTGTGTTTATGGGTAAGTCCTTTAGGTACCTAAATCAGCATTAGATATCACTGTACATATTTAGGTTGGCTTTAAGAAATCATTATTTTACACATTACACAACTAAAGAATTCTACCTAAATTAGAGTGATAAAGTTAATAAGCACAGGTTAATGCTACATATAAGCAAACACAAAGGCTTAGCATCTGGTTTACTATGTCATCCTTTTGTATCCATCCCAGATCAGGGTATACTGAAAAAAAAATAATACATGTTATCACAATTAAACATAATTAATATATCTATAGCACTTTCCTTCACTTTTACATTTTAATGCTATTATAAAGTTTCACTACTAACAGCCAGGAATCAGAACAGTCATCTCTATTCTGCAGAAAATTAAATAGAGATACATTCAGCTGAGCTCTGACATATCAGCGAAGATCTATCAAGCATGTTGTGCTCCTGAGCAGCACACAAACCATGTGTTGACATTTACTTGGCAAGTTACATGACCGAGGTTACAGTGAAAGTCTGTACAGAAGATGGGAACAGAAACAAGACTTTCTGATTCATCCTTTTCCATCTGATGCCGTAAAAAGTAAAATACTGCATCAGACCAACTGATTGTACATTAGAAAACTACAGCAATAACAAAGACTGAAAAATGTTGTAGTTATGATACTGGAGTTAGAATATTTTTGTCCAGCTCTTGGCTCTGCTACAATATTAAGCAACTTACTTAGCTTTTTTTCTCCTCAGCCACTTATCCATAAAACAACAGAGTTTTTTTTTCCTATCTGTCTTTTCATGGCCCAATGATTTTGGGAAACAATAACTAGCACAGTGGACCCTAGAATTAGACGCAATCTTGCATGTCTACCTTAATGCAAAAAATCATTATTTATAGTGCATTTTTATCTACAATGTGTTTTAGAATGAATTCAGGACATTTTGCAACCTTTTCTACATTGCAGCTCTATACCAATGAGCTATTGTGGGAAAGACATGTCAGCAAAGCATTGAGAACAGACTTAAAAAGTATCTCCTACCTGCACAGGTGTCTCCAGAGTGTAGATATGTTCCCCACGCACATTGTAGAACTTGACAAGTGCACTTTTCAACAGAGAACCATTGCTGAGATCAACCAGCTGGTTTTGCTTTTCCATGCCTGCTACTGCAAGTAGGTCTCCTTGTGTGCACCACTGTACCACCACATCTGAAATCAAAAAGATGGTTTGTAATAATCACTGATCAGAATCAATAGGAACAGCATTTCCAGATTATGCAAAGTAACTTGAACAGATAAAATATGCTCTTGAAAGTTACTGAAGTACTTAGAAACCTAAATCCTTTCACTGAAACAGTAGAAAATACACCATAGATGCACTGTGGAGAATGACTCTCGCTACTCTGCACATTGCAAAACATGTGTAAAAACCATCATTCTTCTCTCTCTGTGGTAATTCTACAATGTAATCAGTGGCTGCTCCTAAATACCTAAGGACAAGAATTTACTAGAAATGTGGAACTGATGTGGAAGATAAAAAAGTGGAATAAAAAAGTGGGATAAAAAAGTGGAATCAAGTTAATGTGCAGCTAAATTATCTCCCTAAGAGAGCAGCAAAGAGTATTTGCCTGGAAAGGCCTACAGCAAAAAAAAGCAGAATATCTGGCAATGCCTCATGTTCTCACTATCTGTGAATATTAACTGCTAGCATAACTTAAACTAGAGTTATAACTTATTGTAACATGAAATTAAAAAGACTTGGACTTTTGTCCATAAATACATATGGCCTCCATGTCATATGTTTTCTTTTGCCACCATCATATAAAGATGATTAGCGTCTGGAACATCTCTGTTACAAGGAGAGGCTGAGGGAGCTGGGCCTGTTTAGTCTAGAGAAGAGAAGACTGAGAGAGGATCTCTTTAATGTATATAAATATCTTAAAGGTGGGTGCCAAGAGGATGGTGCCAGACTCTTTTCAATGGTATCCAGTGACAGGACAAGGAGCAGTGGCCAGAAACTAAAACACAAGAAGTTTCACCTCAACATGAGGAAGAACTTCTTTATATTGAGGGTGGCAGAGCACTGGAACAGGCTGCCCAGGGACGTCCTGGAGTCTCCCTCTTGGGTTGGACTGGATGATCTCCAGAGGTACCTTCCAACCCTAATAACTCTGATTCTGTGATTCTGAATTGTGAAAATCTACTCACCTGCTTAGGAGGGGTTTGCCAGAATCACACAGAGCCTGCTTAATCTCTTCATATACATGGATATGAATATATATCAGTTACTTCTCTTACAAGCACCTCACGATAAGAAACGCCCACAACTTAATTTGAGGATGATAATTTCAAACCCTTATATCCTCTAGCTCTTTGTCACACTACAAGAGCAGCTCTAAAACTGTATTTTGCATTTCTGCTTGTGTTTCAGAGGCAGATTTGCATGTGCAAAGAATACTGAGCTAGTCTTTAAACCTTTTTACTCTTTAAACCAAAGGTGAAAGGCAGCTATTTTGTGCTGAGACAAAGTGAAGGTAAAGACAAAATTTCTGTGCTCTGGGATGCTCAATCTGCCAAGAACCTTTTGAACACATTTGTGGGCGAGAAGCTGTCTTCAAATGAAGAAGCAGGAGAGAAATGAGAGCTGGCAGGAAGGATCTCAAAATTGTTTCAAGTTGTCAACTTGTCATTTTCAGGGACTTTTATGTGCAATTTAAAATGGTTTTGTATTATTTAAACTTTCTTATATTTCTCATGGGAATTATGCTTCTATACATATCAGAGGCAAGATGCAAGTTCCTCAAGATAATTTTTCCACAGCTGGCATGGTATGTTTCTTGTTTTCTCTTGGTTTTCAGCCCTCTAAGTAATCTACAATGGGATTTAATTCTTCTTTCTCAGAGAGTAAAATGATAGGCAGGCTAAAAATAAATGAGGCAAGCTGATCAACTCCACTTTTGGTAACTGGATTAACTACAGAACTACCAAAATGAAAAAACAGTCTCCTTTCGATACATGTCTTCAGGTAAAACTTTCAGCTGATCCCTATATCAAGAGGAAGAGCAGTGATTACTTTGTCCAGCAGTTTTCCCTCTCACAAACTCCTAGAAATAGGTTGCTGCAAAGGCAGTGAAGGGTTGGATGTGGGCTGCAGTATCCTCCCGGGACAGTGTGGCTCTACTGCATGCTTGCACTGCCAACAGGGTCTTCAACAACTATTGAACCTTTATATAAAATAGCTCAACTGATAACTAGGTTCTCAGCATAAGCACAGAGACTAAAAATCAGATGGAGGTTTTGTCTAGGGTAATGGTCTGCAAGTAAATCAGTGGATCAGTCATCCCTCAAAACTACTTACCAACCACTATAGGCATGTGTATCAGCAAATGCTGAACAGAGAGCAGGCAGTAGTTGTAACTAACAAGTGCAACTAGTAGATGTAGTTCAGCAGTTCTGCAGGTACCAGAGCACTGAGAATCACTGAGTTAAAAAGTATAAAAAAAAGAAAGGATCCATCTGAACAGTTCAGGATTTCCACTAGGACTGACAAAATCACCAGTACTGTTTAAGCTGGATGAAAAGAAGAACTTTTATTTGGGTAATCAAATTATCAACGTTTTTCTCTATCAATTTCACCAAAATATCCCCAGTAAAACTACAGCTCTGCAAAGCTGAATGGCAAAAATATATTGTTACTGCTTGAAATAATTTTATAGTTGACTGCTTTAAAAACACATTGAATAGCCTTACAATGGTCCATAAAGGTAGGGATATCTGCTGCACAGACCACAAAGCAATACTTTGAGATTTTAAACACAACCAGAGGAACAAGAACCTGCAGCCAATACTGAAGACCATCCACTCTCAGCAGAATACCAAGTGCCTAGACAGGATGGAGACCCTGAACTGGGTGGTTTTGCACATTCTTGCAGTAAAATTACAGTCACTTGAAACAAAATGTGATATGAAGACACAGAAAAACCAGACATCTATATAAAACTATATGTAAATACTTTCCACTGTACAGTACTTCAAAACAACAGAGTGATATCTGATATCCCAGTCACCTTTCTCTGCCTCACATACACTCCCAATCCAGCAAGGTGCTGCACATTTTTAGTCTACTGATGAAAACAATGTAGTCCATTTTATAACTCATAAAAATATTCCTACTCTAGCTTGCACATTAATATTCCTCTACAGGAGGGTGACATAATTAAGGGATCTTTTTTCCACTAGTGAAAGTCAATGGGGAAAGAGAAACAGGACAGACACCCTCAGCAAGAAAGAGCCCTGCAACTCTAAACAGAGAATAAGCTGGGGTTTGTTTCTCTTACTGCTTCCACTTGAAAGATGGACTAGATGACAACTCAAGACTACTAAGTTTTCCATACTTTAGGCATCCTTTTGGCTGACAGAGTTTTCTGGATCATAGGGTTGCCTCATGATGCTACACTTTGCCAATCATGCACTTCTTGTGGTGGCACAGATGAAGGAGTGAAAAAGAAACCTCAAAGGTGATTTTTTTTTTCACATCCTAAGACTACTCTAAATAATGGATCACCCAAAAACTGTGGGGCTGGTGTTCAAGCGACTTTTCACCAAAACCATCCCACTGCTCCAGAACAGCTAAGAGTCTGCTCCAACAGCCTCATTTTCTTTTCATCTAATTTAAAACTAATTTACCTGTGCGGGTGCAAAAGCATATTTAAGTATGTGCCTATGTGCCGCAGTGAATTAAAATGTCTCTGCAGGCAAAACATGGTAAATTGTACTGAGAGTGCTGGCAAAGTAAGAGACTTTTTTAATAGGTAAGAACAGTAAAAATTTCAATGTGAGTTAAAGATTTTACATGGAATACTGATTGAACAAACATTCGTGCACATCACTTAGCAAGATGTATAGTAATTAATCAATGGCATTTTCGTTCCCTCAGAATAACTTGCCTCTTCATAGTTAATAATTCTAGCAAGTTTTCAATATTTGTGAGAATCAAAGCAGCATTGCAATTCATACTGGGCTACCAAAAGCATGGAAAACTTTGTGAATTAAACATGCAAAGGTAGTGTTACGTAGCAGAGGCATTCACACAAAAAAGCATAAACACATTAGTACATTCAGCTGGATAACTGCAAACAGATCGATTGCTCTACAAAATTGCCATGAAAACACGATCTCAAAAGCACTTTGAAACATTTTGCAAACACAAAAACTCCATCAGCCAAGCGCTGCTCTTCCTCCAGCAGGTGTCACTGCTCGAAACAGCAAGAACAGCGGCCGAGTGCTTCAGGCTTAAGGAGAGACAACCACAAAAACATAATCTATGCACATATCACTAAGAATACAAGAAAAACAGAGCATAGGAAGGGGTGAAATGGCTTCTTTTTGTACCTTTCAACCCTGAGCGGATGACAGTAGGAGACAAGTCATCATAATTGTTCATTAAACTGATGTCTCCTGACGTGAAGCTGACAGTAAGCAGTGGCTTGGTGTTCTGCACCGGGACTGGATACGCAGCTGGTCCATCTGCAAAACAAGGCTCTGGAGTGAGCAAAAGGTAAACAACCAAAAGTAACTACATCTAGGCTGAAACACACAGTGCTTCAGCCTACCATCATCAGGAGTGGTTGGTTCCTAGTCTTAAACTCCATCTGCTTACTTCTGCAACATCTAAGGGCAAAAGCAAAGCAGGTTTAGCTACTTAAGCTTGTCTGTTTCTGTGACACTCCAGTGTTTTTACTTTGTGAATTTTTACTGCAGCATATCCAAGTGATTTCTTGCATATACTATTATATTATATAGTGGTGTTTTTCAATCTTTCTCCATTGTCAACTCCCTAAAGTGCCAAAAAATTGAACACCAGTGCCTCGGAAGGCTTCCTTGAAACCCAAGTTGAAAACCAGTGTGATGAACAATATAATTACATTAAAAATTATTTGTTCGACATACTTTCTTCTTGGGCAAGTGCTGGGGACTCCTCCTTAAGTCACAGAGACATCATAAGAACTGCTAAGAGAACAATCCGACCTTTCACAAATTACTCCATTCTAAATGTTAAGAGCTAGGCAGCAGCATGAAGTTACCTTCCATTCTGTGTAACAGGATCCAATGCACCCAAAGGTCTGAGTGAGCCCAAACGGAACACGTGGCTTAAAAACCATTTCTGCAAAGTCTCTGCTCCTCTGGGCTTGTTTTTCAGCATTCACTGAAACTCCTTTGTCTAAATACTTCATGACCAATATCACCATCTGTAGCATTTGCTGTTTAACTCTTTCTGTTTATAGTTTCTGAGAGGAGATGCCACTGGTCCCTGATGAAGTGCCTCTCAAGGCCCAGCCAATATTTTTCAGTCAACAAAAATGGTAGAACCAGTTTAGAGTAGTATTGCTTTCTGACTTGTAAAAAAGCTGATCAGAAAGCATTTTGGAGAAAGATGTCTAATAATTACCATCTCTGTGTGTATATAATTTAAAAAGAAAAATCCAACAAACTTCTAGTCCTTCCTACACATCTGTGTGAGTCAAAAGCTCATCACCTTTGAGAGATTTATGCTGCATCTGCTCTCAAGAAAACACATCATGTTTGGGTAATCATTAAAATAGGCTTGTAGGCTTGTAACGAGTTCACCCACCCCCTGACTGACTCAGAAAAAGCTAACACGTTCAGATCACTTAAGTTCTCATCTGTGTAGTCTGCAGCTTCACCATCCTCCAACTGGAACCTCAGTATTTAAAAACAAAAACAGCAAAAAAACAATTCAATGTTGTTGTCTGTCTTGTTTTAGAAGCTTGCTATGTTGAAGTTTGTTTCTTTTCTTCTAAGATAAGAAATCTCACCCAGTACCAAAAGTGAGGAATGAAAGCCAAAACAAAACTCAGTTTTAAAATATGCTAACATTTTACCAGATGATCAGACTATCTTCTTTCATTATTTATTCATTGATTATAAACTAACCAACCAGATCAATAGGAAGTATTAGTATTACTTAAATAAGAAGAATGGGACTGATTGTGCTGGGACATCTTGGCCTCATACATTTTTGCTACTGATGATTTTTAGAGTTTAAAACCAAAGCATTTCACCAAATGAGTTGTTTTGAGACTTAAAGAGAGGGAAGAATTTCTTCCTGACCCTCAAACTGGCAATGTGCTCTGAAGCATGTGAATTAGTAACTCCAGACAGCTTTAGTCATCCTGCTTCTACCCCACATAATTGCTTGTAATATCTTCATTTTCAAGCCTTCTATAGTACTTATTGAACTCTTTATATCAGGACTATCAGGGATGGGACCAAAATGATGAGCCTTACAGAAATCCTACAAAACAGAGATAAAATTACATATATAGTACCTTACACTATGTCTAGTACTGGTGTCTTTTCACGTGAATCTATATAGTAACGCATTAACTTCTGTGACTGCACTCTGACTACCTGCATACATACGAACCATTGCAATACCTCATACCTGCTTATCAGTGAAACCTGACATGTCCCTATCTAGTGTTTTTCACTCACCCTCACTGAAAACTTTGAGCTTTGTGCTGTTATCTCATTTGTGCAGAGGCAGAGCAGCACAGATGAGGTATGACCTGCAGCAAGGCTGGTGGCAGAGCTGGGAACAAACCCACTCTCCCATACCAGCTCTCTGCTCTACCAGAGCTAGAAACTGTGCCCATCCTGCTGTTTTTGAACAGCATGAGAATTCCCTGTATTTGAGATGTCTTCATGAGCACTTGCAAAGCTGAAACAGAAGGACGTGCACATAACACTACCTTGTGGTGGGGAATAGTCATCAGAGTCCGTGTCGCTCTCGCTGCTGTCCTCCACCAGGAAGCTGGGGTAGTTCCAGGACATGTTGAGGATGCCATCTGACTCGTGAAGGAGCACATGGGCCAGCATTCGGCCATGACAGTCCATGACGATAACCTGTCCATCAGCAGTGCCAAACAGTACCTGGAAATAACAGAACAGGCCTTAGTCTTGCCAAATGTCAGCCACTGGACCCTCCTTCAAATGCATCTTGTAGTTAACTAGCTATGCTGGAAATTAATTGAAAGCAAAGCAGTCAGGGATGTGAAATGGTGCCAGAATAGGACATTGCAACAAAAGATCTATGTAAAGAATGAAGTTAAAGCAGCAGATCTAGAGCTAAGTTCATAAAAATCTGTGAGCAAGTAATGTCTTGTGGTGGGTGCGTTTTGTTCACTTTAATATGAGACATTACATTTTATTTGAACTTGGCCATTACTACAACTAAAGCGAGCAGGCAGAAGGGCTACCAGAGATTCTGCAGTATTCTTGGATTATACAGAAACTTCTAAAATTGGTGGCAGAAACCAAGGTATGCATCAGTTATAACAGTATCAAAAGAAAAGGCACTGCTGACAAAAGTGAGGTCTTTGCAGAGATTTCAAACAGCCTGTAAGAAATAGAAAGCTGAATAGAGAAAGACAGGTTATTCAGTTGACAAGCTGAGAGCAGGTGGCAAAACAGAGGCAAAAGCAGTATGATCAGTCCAAGAGGAAGGCAATGTGCTACACATTCAGGAAGATGAAGAAGAGCTTCCACCGACCATTTCAAATACAAAATGGATAACACAAGTTTTTTTCTCGCCCCTAAACAACTCCATAGCCATTGTGCACAGACTGAGGTCAGACTGACTGGAACCTGCAATTTCTTTTTTTATAAGCATTTTCTGTTTTAAGGCTTTAAGCAAGTTAAGATCCTGCATATTTGATGAATTTTAGAAAAACATCAGGAAATAAGGATGAATAAATCTTAAAACTATAAATGCATTAGCCAAGGCCATTGCTGCTATCATGTAATTCCGTAAGAGGCGAATACATTTTAAAGCAAGTTTAAAGGCACTCATCAATTTGAAATCTGGCCAGCATTAAAAATGAAGCTTAAAGGAAGGACAATCTTATTATACTTGCTCTTCAGTCTGCCACCTATTTCCAATACTTGTAAATTTAAGTTACTAACAATTATATGCTCAGATCAAAAATTCACCTAGCCTTGTAAAAGCCTAACCTTTAAGAGTGGTCAAGTGTTTGGTGAAGAGTAAAAGAACAGGATGCACTGAGCAGGCATCTCCCCTACACACACATGTAGCTTCCAGCAAAAAATATTCCCTCTTCTTTGATAATTGATAATTTCAGTTGGTAACCTTTAGCTCTTAATACTAAAAGAAATACAGAATAATTGTTCCCTACTTACATTCTCAACATCAGTCACAATTTTATAGACCTCTATTATCTAATCTTCTAGTCATCTGTTTTCCAAGCTGAAGAATCATAGCCTACTTAGGATCTCCCAGTACAGTTGTTGTTCAAAGACTGCAATCACCCTTGCTGTCCTCTGCTGTCAGAGGTCTTCTTTTCCATTTTCCTTCTGAGGTGTAGTGTCAGACTTGCAGCATTCAAAGTGTCTATTGTATCAGACTTATACAACAGCACTCTTCTAGGAAGCAATTGTCATGGTTGCACTTTTGGATGTTTCAGAAAGCAAGCGTGGCTTCTTAAGTCTTAGTCAATAAAAAACAGGCACTAAAATTTCTTCCATGATCAATATAATGATCAATGAAGGTTGTAAACTAGAATGGCAATTTAACAAAAGAACTCCAGTGAAGTCATTAAAATCTTAAGAAAAACAATGGAGTTGTTTCACATCATCAAAAGTATTGAAAAAATCAGTATCTCACTGCCTTAACTATAATCATTACATGTTATGAATATTTTTGTGTTAAATAGTTGCTGGGTTAAAACAGCGGCTAAAGTTTGCTACAAGCCTCAGATTACTATTCTTAGATATAAAAGCAAGAACTCCAGCTTTGTTCATCTCACACCACCTTCTCTCATGATTCTTTACTCAAGTCTTCTTTCACTTGTATCATCTCATCTCCTTTCACACTGTTCATTATTTCAACTGTTTTCATGTGTATAATCAGTGCACAGCCACTTTCACTATTTACTTTCAAAACACAGCCACTCTCCTTCAGTTCTCTATAAAATAAACTTCTACAAAGGCAAAATCCTACTAGCTTTTCACACCACTTTCAATCTACTCTATAGATTAGTTTGTTACCAGTTTCCTAGAAGTTTTATAACTGCAAATACCTAGACAGAGGAGGTGAAACTCTCTGTTGTTTCTGACAATAGTAGTAGAAGATTCTGCCTCCTAAAATCCTGTAGAATCATTTTATAATTGAGTAGGAATGCTTGCATTCATCACCCAGAGTTCAGTCCATCTCAATCTAAAGCTAATTCTTTTGAGTAGCTATGCCCCCAAATCATTCAAAATTATGAAGTCCTCAGTAATTTCCAATTCAGAACAGAACAGCTGCATGTCAGCATCTTAATTCTTCACTGGAACCTCAAAGCTCTTTAGCAACCTAGAAATGTCGGAGGGCACTCTTCATCTCTTTAGCCAAGTTGTAGGTTGCAAGAAGCAGCTTTAAGTTTGGGGGTTATTGTAGCAATACAACCTTTAAGATGAAAGCATCTATCAGGCTGATAGCCCTGCTGGCTGAACTCTTGCTGAAGCTGTAAAAATGTCTAATGGTGTTATCATCCATAACATTACTCAAGTTATAAATGCCACACTTAAGCTACTTATGTCAGATGAATAAAACTCTCTTGACCTTCAGACAAAAGGTTGAGCCACAGGGTATGCCTGAAGGATCTAACAGAGAAATTTTAAAAGTTGCCTTTTAGCTGCCTAAATTAATATTTTTTTGGTTATTTGCAGATCTAGGAGGTCAGAGGGAATGCTGGAAAAAGGTAATGAACAAGTAATAGTGTTTCGTTACAAAAGCTAAATGATAATACTAGTAATTAAAAAAACCAAACCCAAGCACTTATTTTGAAGCGGTTCTTTGGCCCCTTGTTCTGTTCTTCTCTTAACTCATTTCCCTTTCCTTCATACTGTTAATTATTTCAACTGATTTTACATGCATTACCACTTGTAGAATTGCATTTGTAGAATATGCATAATCTGAAAACCAAATACTTAAAATCACCCAACACATTCAAAGTGTGAGTCAGTACCACAACAAAAATATACTATGTCTTTACAAAACATATCAAATGTAACGAAGCCCGCACTACAGTGAAGCTGTAGCTGATTAAAAGTCGCACAAATGAAGGGCTCCTGTAATGCCTAGATGTTGCATGCTTTGAAGGAAAAACTATGGTAAACGGCATTGGGACAGTTTTCTAAGTCTACCAAGAGGTGAAAGTTGAATTCAGTTCTGAAACACACATGTCCCGGTTCTCCATGAAATCCAAGCTTGGGGTGATTCCTATTTATTACAACAAATCTGAATACCTGAAAAACACCCTTCTCTGAAGTCTGCTGACCTCTTAAGTCTCTGTGGTAAATTGGGATAAGTTTCATAATCTAGTTTTGGTAAATGAAAAGATTTTTCATCTAAAGATTTTTAAGCTATCATCCATGAAACTTGTCATTCAAGACTGCAATCCCCTTAAATGCTCCAAGATATCAAAAACTCTTCAATAAACAGTCTGAAATATACCAATTTCTGAAAGACATATGGTAAGCAAAAGATGGGGTATTCTGCTCTGAAGTATTCATCTAATGAGGAGATGACAATTAGAATAGCCAAGAAGCTACGAAATTAATTTCAAGAGGAACAACTTGAATCTGTTTGGTGACTTTGCTACATATGGATCTGTCGTGCTGAACTGTCACTGTTCCTGTAAGATCTGTCATGATGCTGTAATGCATCTGGACCAGACAGAGTACTAGCAGAAAATGGTTTGACAGCACAGAGATCAACAAAGCTACAATGGATTGGCCAAAGACCTAGTGGTCTTTGAAGGTTCAGCTCAGGAGGCCCACCACTTCGTAAGAGAAGTATAATTTTCCAACAGTGATGTTCTTTCTGCATTTTGTTGCTATTTAATTTGGTTTAATGTGAGTAAACTGAACTTATCAACAGTAAGAATACTCAAGCTTTATGTTAATTTGAATATACCAGCCTTAGAAAAGGGGGAGATCCTGCCATCTCACCATATCTGATTATATGCAGTACCTGAGGAAATTAAGTTGTTATGATTTTAGACTTAAGCCAATGAAACTGTCCTGACTTAAATCTGCAGAGAATCTAGCCATGGTCCATTCCTGCATCTTTGTCAAAGAAGCTTTCCAGAACTGCAGTCACTTTGACTCTTACAATAAGCAAGGATAATCCAATCCCAGCAATAATGTATTAAATGACCTAATGTATATATACGGGGTAAAAGAAAAAATTGTTTCCAGTCTTAGGTTTTGGTTGTTCAAACTGAACAGTCAATACTGTTACAGAAAGATATTGATAAAACAAGATGCCTCTCTTCATGACATTTAGTACTAACAGTAAAGGTTTCTAATGTTGCTGGTTAAACAAAACTCCCAGGAAATCTGATCAATACATTTTCAGAACTTGGGCTGTCATTCTGCATCAGGGAAACAACCGAGCCTTTGACTGAAGTTGAAGTATTAGAAGCTGGATTTGCTATTGCTAGTGGAAGAAATACAAAGCCTCTCAAGGCTACTTTAGGGTAGCACTTCTAAAGTGAGGGGTTCCAGTATCGTGATGCTAGAATGTGGTAAGAGGAACATGTATCTGCTTTACTTCTGTCGGCCTAGGATTTTTAAAAGATCCTCTCTGACTTCTTACAATGAACATAAATCTGACAACTCACAAAAGCAAAACAACTTGCAGACCTCACTAATTAAACCAGAATTTAGTAAACTCCATCCTAGTACAATTTCATTGTTTAAAAGCCCAAATTTCTACATAAAGACAGAACTTGCCTTGTAGGACTATGCAAGGTACATGAACAGATTGCCTTTAAATTCCTGGATACAATGAAATGTTCTTAAAATTAACGTCATCTGTCATGAAACTTCAAGTGCTCTAATCTTTCCTCAGCTATGACTAAGTTGTC